GAACCATTTATTCTATCCACATGAATTTTAACAAAGGATAGTGGCAGCTTCTGTGTGAGAAGAGTTAAATGTAGCAGTATGGGAACCATTACTGCACTAAATCACCTGGAGTTCCCTTTCATGGCAGGTTCTTTACCTTGCTAACTTAATGCTCATTGGTTTTGGTGGTTTTTTGAAATGCTAAGGTGAAATTGACTTGCCTGTTTAGGGTGTATGGAGGTAGTTTTAAGGAAACTGCTTTCATCTAATGTTGCTTGTGTGGATTTACATGTTACAATGACTGGCTGCCATCAGGATACTGCCTAAATGATTTGAAGGTTTCCTGACTTGGAATTGATGTGTGCCATTGTCTTGAATTTGCAGTTTCTAGCATAGAAATCTAACACTATGTGGAGTTCTTGGTAAATCTCTGTAGTGTTATTTCTGTTTTAATATCTGAAACTCATGTTTGCTCTGATTCTTACATGATGAGAATTACCAGCTTTGCTCATGATGGTTATTACCTACTTGACTTGTGTAAGTGGAGGGAAAGAAGTATTTAAAAAGCAGTTGTCTCTAGTTTTGATTCAGTGCCATAACTTTCTCTTCATCTATTGATGGCTTGTCTGCTTCAGGGATTTCAGATTTTCTGAACAGCAAAGAAATGGATAGCAACTGTACAGTACTTTTCAATCCAGGGTGAACACACATAGTCCCAAAATTGTCCTTTTGGAAACCCAAAGCCTAGTAAGGGGCTTAGAAGAATGTTCCCACTGTTGAAAGTCTTGGAGCGGTATTTTTGGACTGAAGTTACCAATGTGTAGCTGCTTGGGAAGAAACTGGCAGAAGATCAGCTGTCCAAGCTAAGACTGATTTTTGCTCAATGCAAATCTGCACTGAGGAGGAGGAGGAGTTTACTTCTTACTCCAGGTTGGAGCAATGGGAAAATATCATTGTTGATTTTGACTTGACAGTCTGCCAGCTTAAGTCCTTGAAACTTTCAGCTTTCTTTGTGTTTTAGCAGAATGCATCAAGCCAACTCAGCATTTTATTTTTGAAGTTAAGGTTTTCAGTGGCTGAACTTTCAATGCAAGTGTTCAAAGCAGCATCTTAAATAGAGTCCTAAACTCTTTCTTTCAGCCAGAGGCCCACAGTTGAGAATGGCGATTTCTCTTCGAAGTAGCCATCTAAGAACATAATAACTTCAGCAGAACTAACCAGTGCTGCTGTGGAAGGAAGCAGTCTTGCCCTGGCTGCTGCTTCCTCCCTCCTCATCTGCTCCTCCCATGTGTTAACTTGAATGTTTGTACAGAAGTCATAAACCAGATGGAGTAAATGATTGAGACTTTTTCTGAGAATTCGTTTTAGTCTGGATCAGTTCCTTGAGCTGGTTGACTGAGCAGCCATATGGTGTACAGACCACCTCCTGCACCAGCACAGGTGGCCAGGAAGAGGCTGACGCCATTTCTGTTGGTTGCAGTGCTGACTTAGGCCAATTCTGTGTGTTGTTGGAATTGTAGCTCTGTATCCTTTACCTCTTTTCTGGCATGTTTGAGTTTTGGTTTGGGGATTCAAACTTCATATTCATCTTCCTACGCAACTGCACTTCCAATTTATCAAAGCCTAATAGTTAAAAACCAGTAGTACTTTATCCTAATAAGGCTTTCATGAGCACTTGATATACTTGGCCCCTTTACCTTGTTTAGTTAAAAAAAAAAAAAAGCAGCCACCTTTTCCTTCCAGGCCTCTAAATCAGCTCTTTGAGCTGTCTGCAGTGAGCACATTTTTGTGTGTGTAGAAAAATGCTTGGTTCCTCTTGAGCCAACAAATTCCTTGTTTTTAAGAAACGTTATCTCTAGTATCACAGTGGTAATTCATTATTTCTGGAATGTGCATTGGAAGGGAGGAAATTGCTTTGTAATCCTTAGTACTGCCCTTCCTTCCTCAAGTGGGTTACTTCAGATGCAGGGGGTTGCCAGCCTTCCTCACTTTGACTGGATAAGGTTGAGGAATGCTGGTGGGAGCAGCTCCCTCAGTGCATCCCTACAGCAGGAGCCTGCAGTGGGCATTTCGCAGCGTGCACATAGGGCAGGGACCTCTTCAGCAAACATCCCTTAATGGAAGCAAATGTCTTTAACAAGAGTCTCTTGTCACTGCTAAGCAAATCATTTTAAGGAATGACACAAATAGAAGCAGCGTTTCCCTCCAGTCTTTTGCTTGTACCTCCATGGTCCATGCACCCGGTTCAGGGAATGTGGTAGGCAGTTTGCCTGTGGAGGCTCCAGCTAATATTGAGCTAAACAGTGTGCAGGTTTCTGGGTTTAACTCCTGTCAGGTTACTGGAGTTTTGACTTGTAAGAATTGTCTGGTTTTTTATTCCTTCAATATTTTGACCTTGTTACCTTTCAGTGTTATGAAGCTATCATCTTACAAAAATACCAAAACAAATAATCTTGTAGATTCTTTTTTTTTTGAGCCCGTTCTGTAAGGTATCGTACTTTGTGTAGTGTATCATCTTTTGTGAAGATGGTACATTGTTAGGAGTTAATACTTTGAATATAATAAACCATACTGAGTAAATTTTAAATTGGGTAAATTATGAGGGTGAAACAAGTGCATTTTCTTTCAGACAGAGCACAGCCTTGACTTTGAATAGAGTTCCTTTGAAGTCACAGGCAGAAAGCTCTGCCTAGATCTTGTGACATTTCTGGAAAGAATGGTCTGAGTTTTCAGAGTAATTGTTAATATGTGGTATTTTAGGATTGCAAAGAAGTTGCAAGTGTAGCTTTATCATACTGCTTAAAATTTCTTTGTTGTCTCAGTATTTGTGCTCTCAGAATACTTGAAGACTACACTAATGCAAACTTCATGCATTTGGATGTCTCTGAATTTACTGCAAATGGGAATATAGCACTATGGTATTGCTGCTCATTGCTTCTGTAATCCCTATAGAGTGCTTATTATCTGTTATTTTTAAGATCATTTATGCCAGTTCAAAGTAGGTAGAAATAATTTTTAGTTGAAAAGAGATTGTGTTAAGAATATCAGTAGAATCTCTATTTTTCTTAGAAAAATAATCGGGGGGTTTTTTCTTAGAAAATCTACAAATGGTTGAATTCACTTTGTGAATTTTGATGGAATGAAATGGATTTCCTGTTTAGGCTAGAATAACCACTGGCGGTGCTCCTTTGTAAAATTAGGATGGCTTTAGAACCAGTTCAGAAACAATTTTTATTTTGTCAAGCTTAGTGCTGCCACAAGAAATCTGTGAAACCACACATCTGTTGCACATTGATTTAAAGTAATTTAAAATCACTAGGTTGAATTTTAAATACTTTACCAGTGACTCAACTTTTATTCTAACACAGTCTGAGATGTTTAACTGAGACAATTTGCCCAAATTCAAGGAACTGTTTTCCATTAGGGAAGGCTGGTTCCCAAAGAAACCACTCCCTCCTGGAGCCACCTGGCAGTTTGTCCAACAGGCCGTGTCAGCTGGCTGGCAGTGGTGATGTGATAGGTGGTGTATTGACTGCTCATGTTTCTGAGCAGAACCGAGAAGAATGGGGATATATAAAGCTAGTGCCATGAAGCATGACACGTCAGGATAAGCATCCATGTGGGTTTTTTGAATTTTTGATGAGTTAAAATGGTTTGCATGCAGCCCCTTTGCCACCTGTGCCCAGTAAAACAGTATCACTGGTTTTGTTTGCAATGAAGACGAACTTCAGAGGGCTGAATGAGCTAATGTTCCAAGTAAGGTTTTGTTTAAAGTTGGATAGCCCTTGTTCTAGCAACTTTACCTTGCATTTGCTCTGTTAAGGCCTTGCACTGAACACATTTTAATAGGTTTGGCTGTCTTGTGTTTGTAAACTTGCTAGGAACGTAATGCAGAACAAAAGAAGTGAGAGTAAATGTTACAGTTGCAGAAGAACTGTACTTGTGCTTTGATCTTCATCTGGTAAATACTTTGTACTTCTCACTCTGTTGCTCTCTGAAAAGGTTACTTTTATGGAATCTCAATAGCAATAGTGTGGCCTAACTTTAAAAATGTTTCAGCAATTTAAGTGCCTCCTGAAGGGAATGGAAACTAGAAATACTTGGACTTTGCTGCCGTTGCTCTGGAGTTTCTACATAAGAATATTAACTTTTAATATCCACTTAATGATTGCTCAACCCTGTAGCTTTTCATTGAAGTACATGTGCATCCCATTTCAATATTTTTCTTCCTGTTCTGTGTGTAAAGCTTTAATATAAGTTCCCAATGTTTTCTCTTAACTCTTACTGCTGTCCTGGGCTTGAATCTAGCATGGAGAAGTAAATAAATCTTCTCTGTTCTGTTACTGTTAGGTTTCTGACAGTGGTGTGAGTATATTAAATCCCTCAACTACTCTTGGATTTCTGAAAAACAATGATGATTATTTTAGGGAACTGCTGACCTACTCTTTTAATAAAGAACTTGTCTTGTATTCCACTTTCCCATTTTTAGAATCATGGTTCATATTGCTCTTGCTTCACAATCATATAACATCCTTGTGGAGAGTACAGCAGTTGCTTACCTGGAAAAGTAATATTAGAAAAGTGTGTATTTTTAGCTGCCTTTTGATGTGATGTAGCAGCTGGAAACAAGGAGGAGAGACAGTATGTGGTGATCTGACAGCACTGCCAACCACAACTTGAGACCAAAATGTGGGGAAACCATTTCATAGGCTTGATTATGCCCATTGTGCCTGGCACTTCAGTGATCCAGATACTGTGGCTTTGCTCTTGGTTGTCAAAAGTTTTATTTCAGAGTCCTTCCCATGACTGTACTTGACAAATGTTGTTAATGTATAGAAAAAGCAAGTTCTGTTTTTTGTTTATGTTAATATGCGTTAAAAATATATAAAGAGTAGGCAGTTACATGGACACATTTCAGAAATAAACAGTAAAATATCCCTTTGATGTCAGTGATTAATGGTAAATGTCTAAATGAAAAGATATTCTAACAATTAACAAAATTTCTGCTTTTCCCTTTGTAGTAAACATGTCCACAAGTCAAAGAAGGAATCTAGCAAGTTCATGTTGAGGTATATTCTCAAGACAAGACACAGTGACTCATTTGCTTTTCTGGGTAAGAAAGGTATCTTTATTCTCTTGAGTGTGACAAAAAGTACTTAACCTTTTAAATTTAACTTCTGAAAAGTACAGTCTGTCAAGCCAGTATGCTGGGGGGGTTGTGGGTGGAGTGTTTTGTTGGTTTTTATTTTTATTTGTTCTTGAAGCTTTCTGGGCACATGTAGAGAACTTTCCACCCTAAGACCTTTTAGGGAGAGCAAAGGGAGAGCAATAAAGAGCAATTTCAGAATAAAAGACACCACTGAATAGCATGTGACTGGTGGATAGAAAAGTAATTCCAGTTCATTGTCACAAAATTGTGTACATTTTCTAGCCTGACTTGCCAAGGGAATGGTGTTTATATATTATCTCATTCTTTTCTCTTCCCAAAAATTTTAAACATCTCTCTGACTAGGAAGAGAATAAAAAACTTACAACTTGAGACAAAAGTGTAGAAGTCAACCTTATATATATTGTGTTGACAGGCTGGCAGCCAGCAAACATGTGCTCCCTCATGGTCAGCATGGGTATTCTGAGACACCACAAACAGCTATGATCATTGCAATGACATGAGACATGTTGGGTGCTTCCTGCAAATTTGTATATGGTCTGATTTTAGTAGTTCTGCTGCTCCTAGAATTTCCCCAGCTTGATCCAGACAACTCCAGAACAAAAAAGAATTTAAGGATTTTTTTATTTTAATCAGGAAGACGTGCTTTCCTCATTTGCTTACAGTGTTCATGTATACACGGAACTGTGTAGCATCTTCTGTGTGTAACATTGCTCTGTAAGTGTCTGCCTCCTTAATAACCACGTGGATGCTGTGCAGATTGTCCTTTAACACTGTTGTAGGTAATTTGTACCAGTAACCTTCAGAGACTGATTTCCCCCTTCTCCCCAGCTCCCTCATCCACACTTAATTCTTTTGGTCTTAGTGCAGTTGGGTACCTGGCTCTCTGGGTTTGCTGGATCATCTGATGACAGTGAGAAAGAAAGCTTTTGTTTTTTGTTCCTATCACAGTTAGGTGTTACAATTCATTCTCTTTCATGTTTCTCATGTAAGCTGTGCCTCTGACTCTTCTCCAGTCTCAGTGGATTCTGCTATAAAGTCATAGGCTACAGCTATGCTCCTGTTATAAGGACTTGTGGGCTGGATCACCAGAGCATTGCCTACTTGTTTATCATCCATTTTATGTCATGAGCCCCAGTGCACTTAGTCACTGCTTCAGATTCCTCTCTGGTTATGAACAGAAAAGTAGTGCAGCAACAGAGGAGTGTTGCTGCAAAATAATCTGTTTCCAAAGAACAGAGCAGTTTCCATAAAGAGTTAAATTAGATAAAATGACGTATTTTAGTCTTTTAAGTTTAGCACTTCTCTCAGAACTTAATTAGATCTAATTTAGTTTGGCATTGCCTGACTTTTTTTAGTACAGAATTAGCCTGTTTCTCTCTGTCCTAGGGCAGTCCTGTAATTTTGGCAGTCTTGTTCCAATTATCAAACTCAGTTTCTAAAGATGTAGTTTCAGAATACACACTGCTAATGTTTTTATCTTTTTACAGTATCTTCATGATTCACTGTCATCATGTTTCTGCTGTGGAGCTGCTTTCTTTTTAAGTGTTCTTACTAAAGATAGAAAAGCTCCTTGGGCTCTTTCATTCTTTTATATCCTAAGTAATAAAGCCGACCATTGGTTGCTGGGGTTTTTTTCAGCTGTTTCATATGGCTTATATTAATGTATCAGAGACTTTATAATTCTAAAATTGTCTTTTGGTGATTGTCTCATCTAATAATGATGAATGCTTTTTTCCCCCCTAAATTTCTATTTTTGTGCTAATTCTTTTAATCTTACAAAGCTATATCTTGGAATTTATGTGGTGTGCAGCTGGAGCTTTTGTTTTTACATGGTGCATCTGGACATTTGCAGTGCACTTGTTGGATTTTACTAACAGCTCTCCTAGTTTGGAGTGACTTGAAGTGTTCTTATTCAGGATTTGTTTTACTGCTGCTTATCAGAAGCTTATCAGGGAGTCATACCTAACATATGACTTAAAAATTCTTTCTTGAAGGATTTTAGATTGTGTATTTCCTATTTATCAAATACAACTATGCAGACCTACCTACATGCCTATAGAAAAATAGGAGGGCCTACTTGTAAATGAAATGTTTGTAATTTCCTAAACACTTTCTTTGTGGTCATTTTTCTAAATACTCATTTAGAGAATATTTTAAAAGGATGGATATTCTTCTAAATGTTGAAATATGTGATGCATCTTGCTTCCACATAACCCTACAAAGACTAGGGCACTTTTTAAAATGTATTGCATTCAGTTAATAATAGTCATCTTGGGTCTATAACTTAAATGATAACTGAAGATGTATCCTCATGTTTTAAAGTATATTTTTATTTTAATATTTCTTCTCCTCTTGATTTAGATAACATAATCCATGGATAAAGTGGGAAAGATGTGGAACAATTTCAAATACAGGTGCCAGAACCTCTTTAGTCATGAGGGTGGAAGCCAAAATGAGAGTATAGTTGTGAACTCCAATAATTGCTCATCTGGTAAAGAGAAAGCCATCCAGATAACTGACTTGACTCAACAACAGCCCAGCAGCCCTTTGAGAGAAAACATTGCTTTGCAATTAGGTTTAAGTCCTTCAAAGAATTCAGCAAGGCGGAACCAAAACTGTGTCACAGAAATTCCTCAGATTGTTGAAATAAGCATTGAGAAAGAGAATGACTCATGTGTCACCGCAGGAGCCAGGCTTGCTCGAAGGGACTCTTATTCTCGGCATGCTCCTTGGGGTGGGAAGAAGAAGCATTCCTGCTCTACCAAAACACAGAGCTCCTTGGATGGTGAAAAAAGATTTGGTAGAACACGAAGTGGTTTGCAGAGGAGGGAGAGAAGGTATGGGGTGAGCTCAGTCCACGACATGGACGCGGTATCCAGCAGGACAGTAGGCAGCCGTTCTCTGCGGCAGCGTCTCCAAGATACTGTTGGGCTGTGTTTTCCCATGAGAACTTACAGCAAGCAGTCCAAACCTCTGTTTTCTAACAAAAGAAAGATCCACCTCTCTGAACTAATGCTTGAGAAATGCCCTTTCCCTGCAGGCTCAGATCTGGCCCAGAAGTGGCATCTGATTAAACAACACACAGCACCCGTGAGCCCTCATTCAACTTTCTTTGACACATTTGATCCTTCCTTGGTTTCCACAGAAGATGAAGAAGATAGACTCAGAGAGAGACGTAGGCTTAGTATTGAAGAAGGGGTTGATCCCCCTCCCAATGCCCAAATACACACTTTTGAAGCTACAGCACAGGTAAATCCATTGTATAAACTGGGACCAAAGTTAGCCCCTGGTATGACTGAGCTGACCGGGGACAAAACCATAACACCTCCAGGGAGCTGTGACTCCGAAGAGGACACGACGACGCTTTGCCTGCAGTCGCGCCGGCAGAAGCAGCGTCAGATGTCAGGAGAGAGCCATGGCCATATCAGCAGGCAGGGGGCTTGGAAAGTGCACACTCAGATCGACTACATCCACTGCCTCGTGCCGGACTTGCTCCAGATCACAGGTAACCCGTGTTACTGGGGCGTCATGGACCGCTACGAAGCAGAAGCACTTCTGGAGGGGAAACCCGAAGGCACTTTTTTGCTCAGGGACTCTGCGCAGGAGGACTACCTCTTCTCGGTGAGCTTCCGCCGCTACAACCGCTCGCTGCACGCACGCATCGAGCAGTGGAACCACAACTTCAGCTTTGATGCCCACGACCCCTGTGTGTTCCACTCCTCCACTGTTACGGGGCTTCTGGAACACTACAAAGACCCCAGCTCTTGCATGTTTTTTGAACCCTTGCTCACTGTATCTCTGAACAGGACCTTCCCCTTTAGTCTGCAGTATATCTGCCGGGCGGTAATCTGCAGGTGCACTACGTACGATGGAATCGATGACCTTCCTCTACCCTCAATGTTGCAAGACTTTCTAAAGGAGTATCACTATAAACAAAAAGTCAGGGTGCGATGGCTGGAGCGGGAACCTATAAAAACAAAGTAAAAGGAAATCAAAATAAGCTTCTGGAACGTGCTTTTTTTTGTGTATTACAGTTTAACTGCAGCAAGCGCACCAATGGCGTCTAGCTTTTCTGCAATACCCTATTTAAGCTGAGTGTTAGTATCCTGTCAGATGCTGCCTGCTGTTAATCAAACTAAGTTGTGATGCCTCTTGGAAACAATAAGCAGACACAATTCTGCACGTTTTTCATTAAGGCCTAATGAAAATATTTTTGCTAATTTCTAAATATTTTGTTTCCCTTTTATAGCTGTAGTAATTGGCTGAAGAAACTATGAGGCATTTCCCATGGGGCATTCATGCAATGCTGTTAAAGAAAGGCTTTATTGGAGGGGCATTTTTGCTAATATTTGAAGTATTTTTTTTAAATTCTCTTCTTGAAAACTTTCCTCAACTCAAAGTAATAATTTAGCTCACAAACAAGTTTCCAAATACTAGTGAATATTTTCTTGTAATGAAGAGCAGTTCATTAGAAGCAGTCCATTAAGAGTTAATGGTGCTTTGAGGCTAACAGATGAATCATGCTTTTCACAGTGTATAATGTTTCCTAATCATTAAGACTTGAATATGCCTGCTCAGTACTGTAATTCTGTTACAAACACTTGGAGATTTAAGTGGCATTGTTAGCAAAAGTAATACTGTCTCAGACAGTTAAAAATACCTTCCAGTGTGAATTGCTGCTTCTGTGGCAGGACACAGAATTAGATTCTTGCTGTGGAACAGAAGGTTGTGGGTTTTTCCCAAAACAGATTTTGGTGTCCTGGCTGCTAGTAACTTACAGTGGAAGGTAATAGTGACAAGAAAAAAATTCTTAATTATTTAAAGTTGTCTGATATTTTTATGGAGAACATGACAAGTGGTTGAATTATTATAATCAGAATACAAAATCTGACATATCTGAAGCAAATGTCAGGTTTCAAAGGTACTGGTACACTTTATTTGTAAATATCTTTCCATCTGCGCTTTTAAAAATGTTTTAAAGTAATATGCACTGATGATAGTTTCAACAGATTACTTAGAAACAAGATTCTAACTTCTGTTTGCTTATTTACTTGGAGATGGAACTTAAAAGTAGTTCTATCTTAGATATTTTGCACTAAAATCTTGTTGGAATGCCCTGACCCCTGTTTAACGTTTTGTACCAATTCTGAGTGCTCCCTAGTTTCTTTACCAGCTGCTACAGTATTTGATTCCTTCCTTCTCTACGGCAGTGACCTGTGTGAGGTAGGAAACATTTTGGCTGCAAGTACAATAAACGTTATTCTTGTATGCTACACTAACCCTTCTATTGATGTATTTTTCTGCTTGCTGTGCCTTGTTCTGGCTTTTTGTGCTAATAAAGTACAGTATGTTCAGTGTTATACTTGTATATCTGCTCTGTTTTTATATATTCACCTAACTTGTAGCAGTTAAATGAATTTTTAATAGGCTTTTCTTAGTATTTAGGATAGGTAATGCACAAGTACTGTGCAGTTGAGTATTAGTTGGTCAGCACATCTTACTCCTGGTTTTTGTTACAGCAACTTGACAGTGTACACCATTGAATAACGTTTCTGTAGTCACTGCAAGGTAGTGGACTTGTCTGCAGGCATAGAGCATTTTACAGGTTTTTGTAATGCAAAGGATAAATGTTAAGCAAAAAGTGTTCTAAAACATTATTGATCCCCTGTAATGGTTGCTGAAGGTGTTTCAGCTTGTTGTATAGGTAACTGCTAAGGTTAATATTTTGATACTCCCCACTGAGGAATGCTTATTCCTTTAAATTGACAGTACAGCAGCGACATTTGTTCACTTTTAGGCTATTTTGATAAATAGATGTACACACAAGCTGGCCAAATGTCCTGTTTTTACCAAAGAATACTGTCAATTTATGTTGGGGTATTTTTTTAGTTAAAAAAAAAAAAAACAAACTCAAGAGCGGAGAGGTGCAATTTTTGTTCTATCAAATATTTATCCCAAGCTATGATAAACCAAAGTATTTGACAACTTCATCTGAACCTAAGTAATGTATACGTTTATGTTGGTAGAGCCTAAAGCTTTTTCATCAATGGTGTTGTCATTATTCCTGAACTCACAATGCACCTGAAGAGGAGTGATTTAAATAATTTTGTAATGACTGGAACAGCACTACAGAATAGCTCGTACTGCGAGGGGTTAATCTGAAGCACCCAGAAAGCACTTTAAAACATGTGTTTATATGCTTGTGGAAAGTTTGTGATCCCGTTATGCATTCTTTGTAGTAGATTATCTTCTTTCATGTGTTAAAAGACTTCAACTGTTAAAATGGAACTTTGTTTAGAATATGTAAATACTAAGTTTATGTAATTATGTGTACAACTGTGCTCTTGGTCTCTTAAGTTTTGAATTGTGTATGTGTCATTGGATATGCAACTCTTGGTTTAAAATCTGCTCTAAGCGTAAAAAGAGGAAAAAGTCACCAGCATGAAATTGCACCTAAGTGTACCTTCACTGTGTCGTTCTCACTGTTCCCTCAGTCAGATCTGAATGCCAGATGAGTTTACTTAAATTCTTGCTTTCAATATTAGTGTCATACAGTCAGCCTGCAACCAAGCTTTGTCCCGGTGCAGGGACCTGTTTTTCATTTACACTCGTTGCAGTTGCTTGTCATGAACTAGCTGTGCCATTGTCAATGTGGTCAGGAATACACATTCATCTAATTTTTAATCATGTGGTGGAATCTTTGGGAAAAAAAAAATAAAAACCCCAAACCCTTACCTCAGAAAGTTTGCTCTTGAATTTGTATAAATAATCTTTATGGAGAGATTTGCTCCCCTAAAACACACAAAAAAGGAATTATCTATTTCTCTACAACTTTTTTAAAGCTCTGCTTCACTGAAATATACAGAATAATTTGCTAGTGTGGTTATGCTAAAATGAATCACTTCTTAAATTTTGATGGACTTGAATGTTGACTATTCCAGTTGCAGTGTATTTCTTAATGAATACATTTTCAGTTCTAAAGGCATTAAAATGCTAGTGGGTGGAGAATGCAAATAGTTGATTTCTCATTTGTGTTTCTCATTCTGGTTTCATGTAGAAAACCTTAAACATGTCTTAAAGCTGTGGTTTGTGCACCTTTTTATTTTTTTTAATCTAACGGTGGGATTCAATGTAAAAAGGTACACTTGTATTATTCCAATCTAATTTGGTTACGTGACAGATGAGTTTTTGAGCCTCAGTCTTGTCAAGTGTTTTTTTGAGGTGATTCTCGTTTCAGCAGAAAGAGCTATAGAAAGTGCTTACTCTGTAGGAGGGTTTTGTGAGGAATCCTACCAAAGGTATTTTATGTCCCTGTGGAATTGGAGAAAGGAAAATATACTATATTATGAGTATCCAGGAAGGGTTTGTGAGTTTAGGATCTCTTCGCAGTTTTATCAGGTCTATGGTGTTTATCAGTTTTAAATGCCTAACTCTTGAAAATACTTGTAAGGCAAGTACACTTGTCCAGATAATTTACTTGTCAGAATGGAACTTGTGAAGAAAATAAGTTGCTAATTAATGTTTTGCATTTATGTACTTTTAAATTTTATTCACATTTGAATACTTGCTGCTTACAAAATGATAGTCCTTAAATCAGAAGCATAGAGTTGTGAAAAGATGTGTCTGTTTTTCTGTAGTGTTTGACAATATCATGTCAAGCCTTACAGACGTCACTCAAATCCTTAAGTCCGTATTTAACTTTGAGGTTCAGCACTACTTAGAAACAAGCAAAGATTCTGAATTTCTGTAGTAAAAAACCTGTTTGCTTCAGTCTCCATGTGCAAGCCAAAATATTTGCAGAATGCTTTAAAGCTTTTCTCTGCTGCAGAATTGCATGTAAGACAGAAATTGTCATTGTCAGAAGTTGCTGAGTACCAGAGAGATATATCTGCAGGCATCATGGTTATTTTTTTTCCAAAGTTATCTTGAAAGACAGTATTTAATGGAAAAATGTGAACTGAATCTTAGTTGATTCTTTTCTAAAATAGTATTTCTCCATTTAAGACATTTAAAACTCACATTTAAAATTATGAAAGCACTTTTTGAGCCTCATTTTTTGAAAGTTTTGTTGTGAAGTGAGCATGTATGTGCCAAACCTTAGTCTGCAAGTATCTGGCACATGTATATTTATATGTTAATAAGATGCCTCCAAGCATGTTTACATTCATGGTCTTTTTTGAAGCTACTGAAGTACACCAATATGGTGAGCATTAATATATTGGAATTCTAAAAATTCTGTCTGTTTTCCGTCTGTGTATGGCATGCTTTGCAATTAAAAGGACTATTTTATTTGTATCTTCACCTGCACTTATATATTATGACCAGTTGATTGGTGTGTTTTTTCCTGTTGTCATCACACTTACCTAAACAGTTGTCTCTGGACTGTGACCAAAGGAGATTTTTCATACCTGTTTATTTTAAAGTAGAGATCAAATCAGTTGGCTTTTAAAGTATTAATTCCTATGGAGCATGGTGTAACACTGCTAATTGCTCTTTTCCTCTTTGCAGTATTGATGTACAGAGAATCATTTAGCTTGACCACGAGTTGTATCTGTTGAATGTAGTTGACTTCATATGTCTGAATTTTAAGCTTTTTTTTTTAATTGAAAATGATCCTGATGAGGACTTTTAAAAGGAAAAGGTTTGATGGTTTTATGTCAAAATACCTAAAGTGATTGTTTTGCAATGAGATGAGGATCTGTTGAAGATGCTTTTTAGAAGTTTTCCCCTGTCACTGTTTTAAATCAAGATTCTTTAAAAAAGAAAAATCAAACCCTAAACAGTCTCTTGATGACTTAAACCTTACAATCTTTTGAAAACTGAAAAGAAATCTGGTGCTTTTACTTAATTTGCTTGCATATTGCCAGACTGATTTAAGAATAGTTGTTTCAAGAAGCAAATTAAATCTGTTATTTCAATGAAGCATTGCCATCTATGATTTTATGAAATATTCCATTTACAAAAATTGTCTATCGACAGGATGTTAACCTGATACTGTATTTGTTGTTATCAGGGTAACTGTTGTGTGTATACTTTTCGAGCTAAGTGTTCACTTTGTAAATTTGCATTAAGGCTACAGCTGTTACCAGCGAGGTTCCCTAGGGCCAACACAATGAATTTATGAGCTGAAGCTCATGGTGCTTGACCCTTTTTTGTCTTCAGTAGGAAAAAAAGTGTGTAGCTCTGTGCAATACAGCTCGTGTTACAAATTTCCATGTTAAGCACACAGCTATGCTGACAAGCAGAAACATATCTGAACTTGCTTGTCTGGAGTAAAGCAACCTCTCTGACTTCTCAGCAGGAGCTGTAGCTTGGTGGCACGTTGGCAAAGTGGAAGCAGAAATAGGTTTTGCTCTTCCCTGAGCAGCTGTTAACGGAACACGGGGTGTGCTTCCTGTGTGATAGGGTATCTGAACTCCTTAGAGCCCTGAGAATTTTAATAGCGTTCGGAAGATACAGAAGCACTTGGCTGCTTTGCCACTTCTTGCTTTCATGCTTGTCGTTTTGCAAAAGCTTGAAGAGATATATTTATTAAAATTGAATCTATGTAGTCAACAACTGTATAAGCACTGCTTTGTAATATCTTTACAGAGATATCAAATTCCTCCACAATTATATTTAAACTGTTTTGGGAAAATGAATAATGACACTGTGGGCACAAATTAATTCAGATTGCACTATAAACTTTCTTACCAGAAGCCTTCATTCTTACAAAGAACTATGCGATCCCTACACAGAAACTGTAGCTTTGGTGGCGCGCTCTTTGGTAGGTGTCCAAAACAGCGGCATCCAGACGGTCCCTGGACCTTTTCTGACATTCCAGTTGAGGGGCCTGGCAGGCCCGCTGGGCACTCGAGGAGTTGGCTGGCAAGCACGCCGTGCCGAGCGTCACCCGATGCCAGCACCTTGTGTAACTCTGCTGGTTTAGGTCTCCCCAGCTTAGATGGTTTTTAACTCACTGCAGCTTAAATGTTTCTCCACCCTGCCTAATTTGTCTTTGTTATTTGGTTGCCAAACTGTCTTGCATCTTAATAGAGTAAGAAAATAATGTGATTTATGGCTACCCAACCAGTGTATTAAGTAATAGATGGCTCTGTCTTAATAAACGGGGTATAAACTGCCATATTGTTTTCTTTTTATATTTGTTTGGGAGCAAAAACTTGTGGGTTTAATGAGTTTATTTTAAGTCCGTGCTGTAAATGCATAGTTTTACAAATATTTAGTTGCACATGTCAAGAACAGTAAGTAATCAGTAACTCATGTTAGAGTCCTTTTCTCTTTCATCTAAAATACTTGAGTGAAGAGATCCACAGACTGATAGTTGCTGTCTTCAAAAGTTTTATCACTCTCTGAAATTCATCAATTAGTTTAGCGAGCTTTCACTTAAATCACTTAAAGTATTTGTCTCTCCAGCTGTGGGCTAAGCACATGTTTTTGTGACACAGACGTGTCTTCTAGAGCACAGCCCCCATGAGCACAAACTCAGGAACAGATGTAGATGTCATCCTGTAAACTGAGAGTGTTTCTCCTCTGTGCCTGATGGGAGCTGCTCCCAAAGCAAATTAGTGCAAACCCTATAGCTAATTATGAAAACGGAGCAAAATGCTGCTGGTGAGCAGTTATAGCTGGGCACAGCAACAACCATGTGACAAGCTGAAGAAGTGTCGTGGGCTGCTCTGTGGAACTATTTTGGGCTTCTTAATTTGTTAATTATATATTTTCTAGACCACTGCTCCTAAAAATACATTTAGTCTAGGCTTCATTGGAGTATTTATATCTCATCACTGGTGAACTAATAGAAAACTGAAACCCTGAAAACAAACCATGTGGTTTTGGCTGTTTTATACAGAGATTGCCCTTATAGTTTTAGCTTCATTGGTACGTGGAGAAGCCTATGTGTCTTAAACTCACCTGAAATAAATCTATAATTAATTAAGAAGTGGAAGTTATGGAAATTGATTCACCTGTTGTAGTGGTAGGTTTGAAATATTACTCTCAAATTCTGTAAAACTTACAGCAGATAATATTATATTAAGTATTTTATGTATTTAGCTAAGGAAAATACAGGCACAGTAATACACTACACTTCAAAAGGGTTTCAAAACATCAGGTATTCTGAAGCTAAAGTTCCTAAAATCAGTATCTTCTGCATCACTTTCCTAGGGAAGGGGATTTTAGGAGTCTCTTAGAAAGCTGCTGTGTTATGACTTGGCAGGTACCTAGAAGAGAACATGTCAGTATATAAAATAGATGTAGGAGAGGCCCTGCAAAGAACTTCTCTGCTACACTAGCACAGGTTGTGCAGGGCAGAATCTGTTCCTACAGGGTGTTTTTTGGGCTTCTAAGAGTCCAGTAAGCATTTCTTTGGTTTCCTAGATTGAATGCAAGAGTTGTAATCACAGTAGAGATTGCTGAAGTGACATTGCTGCCATTGAACACAGAGGACCTGGACCAACTAATCCATAAGAAAGGTTTGTGTTGTCACTCCATCTCTGAAGCAGCTGGTGGTGTGAGGAACATTAGGGTGGTTTCACATCTGAGCTTTCCAACATCTGATAGCTTGGGTGTGGATGAAATAATGTTGGCATGACCTGCTTGGAAGACTGTTTTCACTTCACTTTCCCATCAGGTGTTGTGGGGTATCTGGGAAGTCAAAGTTGTAAACCTTCAGTGGGGTTTTCACAGCTTCTCCTGAAAAGTTACCAAATTAATAAAAATTGCCATTTGCAAGGTT